GTTTTGCTAGTGTCGGTTTTACATCATTTCACAACGCTTGATCGACGGAAAAAAGCAATGCTGGAGGTTTCACGCTGTCTCCGAATTCGGTTTACAATTCAACATAATTTTTTAAGAAAAACAGTAGATTGTTAGTGAATACATAAAGTTACAAACTGAGTTTTTTGCCGAGCTTTGATTCCAGCTTGATAAAGCCTTGTAGATATCACTACCCAATATCAACCAAAGGGCACAGAGGTTGATCCTGGATCATTCAGTACATTAGTTATGCGTGGCAGGGAGTCTTTTTTTGCTATACTTGCGCAATGCACGCCTTTTCTTTTCACGATTCTTTTCATTTTTAGGTACAACGCCTAGAGCCATGTTCAGTGTCCCTTGCACTGAATATGATTTCTGATAGGCCTAACTGAACACTTTTCTGATTTGGTTACAAATCTGCCCAAAAACACCAGCTTTGCTACTCTTTCCCGGGGTTTACCCGAAGTTACGAGTAAATTATTCAGGTTTGAAGTGTGTCTGTCTTTGGAATGCATTCAGCTTTCCTTGTGGTTTGAATTCTTAGCCTTAAATCGTACTTCACTAAAAAAGAAAGTGTAAATGAAGCTGTTTTGGCGCGTACGTTCACTGGGCTTGGTTCATCATTATTAGCTTATTTCAGTGGTCAAGTATTGATTTACGTTTGGGCATTCGAGCAGCCAAATGGCGTATTTCCGTCACAGGACGTGCTCGTACCGTGTCACCTTCTTGACAGCACTGCTGGTGGCTAGTTAATTTCTCATCTGTTTTCGTTTTCTGGCCCCTCAGGCTGGACACACGACTCGTAAAACACTTTTGTCTGCACTTCGTTGTTGGTACTTCCTTAAATTAGTTTTCATCAGGGAATAAAACTGCATTGAAGAAAATACAGTAAATCCTTTGAACTTTTCATAAATTTCTACTTTTTATGGACAAAATGCAAGCATTTTTTTTAATTCTTCACTGTTCTGTTCACTACCCGTTGCAAGTTTACTTTCTTCACGAAGGTGGCATAGGGCTAGGGGTAGATTAAATAAACGCATGATGTGGTGAATTGAAAAAATTTCAGGAAGTATTCCACAGATGAGATTTCATATGAATTCAACTAAAGAACAACGTCTTATAAGAGTAAGATTTTTGGCACATCTTTATCTGCGTTGAGAGTTTTTGCTTCTTATCTCCGTTCATTTTATGCTTTTTCTTCTCCTTGCTGTGCTTCGCCCCAAGTATCTTTTTTCGTTTGTGGACTGGAGCTGCAAAGGAAGGTCAGAAAATTTGCTTGAGAAATATTTTTGTGGAAACGTTTTTTAATTACTTCTTTGAAAAGACACCAGGACAGATAATTTTTAACCATTCCCTGAAAAAATTTGCACTTTGGGTTTATTACGTTCGGTTGCTGTTGCAAAGGCAACTTCTAGAAGCCTGGACATTAAAAATGTAAAACAGGAACAACGTAAATTAGCGCTGAAACCCCTCAAAAATGATATTTTTGCTTCTCGCCCCATTATCTTTTACCGTTTGTGTCCTCTCCCCCTCTTTATTCTCTTCTCCCTTCCGACCCTTCGCCATTTCTTCTCCCCCGCACATTCATTCCCTCTACTCTGTTCATCCATTTCTCCGCTGCCTGGTTATTACACTAATGCGTGTCATGCTTATCTGATAAAATTTCCATTTTT